CCTCTAGGGAGGAGCCCTCGTCGCCACGGCGGGGCGCGGCTCGGAAGACCGGTGCGCGCTTGGGCCCCGGGGAGGGCTCCGGGGATCGACGGGGAGCTGCCGCTGTCTCGGCTCTTACCTGCTCGGGCGGCGAGATCTAAGTCTACGGGATCCACTGCTCCCTGGCCAGGCCCATCCTGAGCCCAGGATCCGTGTAGATGCTCCTCCTCCTCCTCTTCTTCTTCCTCCTCCTCTTCCTCCTCCTCCTCCTCCTCCTCCTCCTCCTCCTCCTCCTCCTCCTCTCGTCAGCCGTTCTGGCACAGGCGCTTTGGGGCCCCTGTGATTGTAAGCACGTACTTCAGAGCGCCTCGGGCTTGCGAGCCAATCGACAGCTGTTTTCATCGCCCTCTCTGCGGGCGGCCGATGATTCCACCGCCCGATGTCTTGCCGGGCGCGAAGACCCCTGATTGGGGGTGCGGCTGCGGCTGCTGGGACAATGGGGCATCGAGGGTCAAGTGCAGGCAGTGTGACAAGCCTGCACTTCAGAAAGTGGTCAACGCGGCGCAGCGCCGCCTCCTCCGCGGGGAGCCTGGGCTAACGGACCTCCGCCGATGCAGCACTCAGCCCAGATGCGCCTCCTTCGTGAGCTGCGGGTCCAGATCGCGGGGCTCAAAGGGGACCCTGCACCAGCGACCCCGCCTTGGGTTGGCTCGCAACCCCAGCAGCTTCAGCAGCCTGCAGGCGGCGGCGGTGCCCACAGGGGTGGCACCCGCCAACCAGCGGCGTCGGTTGGCAGTGGCGGAGCAGGTGGGGTCACCTACAAGGACGTGGTGGCGTTCATGGAGAAGCAGGGGCTCGACACGTCCAGTGTGCAGGCTGCTGAGGCGGCCCAACTTGCCAAGGCCAGCGAGGGCAAGCCGCCCACGGCCCAAGCACAGCGCTGGCGCGTGGACGGGCTGCGCAAGAAGGTTGGCAAGCTGGAAGCGAAGACCGAGGCGGTCAAAGAGCAACAGGCTGCCCTGGACAAGGAACTCGACGAGCTCACCGCTGCCCTCCAGGACGAACAGGCGAAGCTCAAGGAGGGGGAGGCCAAGTTGGTCAAGCTGCAGGCCAACGAGTTCGACGACCCAGTCCAAGCAGTCAGTGCAGGGTTGGACGACACAGTGAAAGAGAGAGCCAGGAGGCCAAGGACGCCTTGGCAGTGCTCTCGCGGCTCCAGCGGGGGGCCGCTGAGCGGCGCAGAGCGGCCGCCCCTCCTGCTTCTCCTAGCGCTGGCGACATTGTTGCCCCAGGCGCCGTTGGTGGGGGCGGTGAACATATCCCAGCAGAGTCAGGAGATGGCGAAGGCGTTGGCATGGAGCTCTTGTGAGGATAAGGCTATGAGCAGAAGCAGAAGGAGTTTGCAGCTGCTGCTGAAGCCCTTCGAACAGCATCGCCCGATGATCAGCTCGAGGCCAAGCGGAAGTCCATTGATGCAGCTGCAGCCCCCGGCATTCGTGCCATGAAGCCTCGCTCGTCGGGGTCCTAGCCCTCTGAAGAGGTTCCTGGCGGGCAGCGTGGTCGACGCTGACTGGGAGGAGGCCACGGGTTTCGCTGTCCCTATTCTTCGTGACGATCTGGTCTTCGACTCGATGCTCTTCCGCAGCCCCGATGGCAGCGCGGTGGACGTCTACCTTGGGTCGGACTGGCCTACGCTGGGCGCGGCCGCCGCCGCCAGTGGTGGGCCACAGGCCGAAGGGGCAGGGATTCAGCCCCTGGTCGTCGCTGTCGTCGCACCCCTCGGCCCGCATGCATTGTGGCTTCGGGGTTGTCTCCTTCGTTGAGGGGGTCATCCAGTGTTCCCCCAGATGGCCAGGGACGTTCCTCCCCTGGGCTGGGGGCAGCGGCGAGACTGATGGGTTCGTCGGCTGGGTCCTCGGCGTCGAGCGGTGCACTCAAGGCTCCGATGGAGCCGCAGAGGTCGCCGCATGCTCTACGGTTGCCTGCTGGAGCTGGCTCCTGCGCAGGAATCTGGCGTCAGAGTACAATGCCCCAGCGTGCCATTGGGGCTACTAGGCAGCCTCGCCACGGGCGTCAGATCGCAAAGTCCTGGTGTGCCATGGCGGCTACCAGGCTCATCGTCGCCTTCGGCTGGCAGCTGCGGAGCTGCTGAAGCGCTTCGCCCTCCTCCCCACCATTCGCCCCGCGCGGACTCGAAAATGCTGCGGTCGAGATCTGACAGGAGGGGGGCGGACCTCCTTCTCGTAATCTTCTTGCAGATGGATGTGTTCCTGGTGTTGCGGAAGAGGCACGCAGGCAGCCGCAGTCAGTTGCTGTCAGCACCCTAACCACTGCGGTCATGAATGTGAACTCTTGGAGCACGTTCGAGTCTATCATGGAATTGTTGGCTGATGATTGCAACGCAGGCGGGGCTAGTCCTCCCCCGCAGGTACTTTTCATCCAGGAGACCAGGATCAAGAGTGACACCAAGCAGGTTTTTTGGGGGGGAAGCGCACAGCACGGGGCCTGGCTCGCAGCAGGGTGGTTCAGGCGTTGCTGTGGCGGTTCGTTCTTTGTTAGGCTCGACGCCAACAGCGACCACGGTTTTTGAGGACTGCGAGAGTCGCGTCATCACTCGCATCGTCAACGTTGGGTTCCCCAGGGGACTGGTCGTGGCATGTGTGTACTTCGTGACGGGCAAGGAGCTCTCGGGGCCCAACCTGGCCCTCCCGCAGGCCGTAGGCGGGCATGCGATGGCCCAAGATCGGCCGCGTATTCTCCAGGGGGATCCCAACTTCGAGGCCGACTCGCTCATGGAGCTGGGGTGGTTACAAAAGTTCCGAGGCACCCTGGTTGTTCCTGATGCCCCGGCGCGCAGGATGCATGGCCCTCAGGTCGTAAAAAAACGACGACGACAAACAACAACAACAACAACAACAACAACAACAACAACAACAACAACAACAACAACAACAACAACAACAACAGTCCGCACAGCGGAACCCACTTCAGCCAGGTTCCCAGAGACGGTGAACGACCGTTCGGCCCCTCATTCTGACGTTCCAGGACTCCCAAGGTTCCCAGGATTGCCCCTATTTCCTGATGTACTGCGCCAGCTGCGCCGCTAGATATACGTCTTGGAAATCCTGGAGCGCATCCTGAGCCAATCTCATGCTGACATCATTCTCGCCGTGGACAAGGCCTCCTCCTCCTCCTCCTCCCCCTCCTCCCCCTCCTCCTCCTCTCCTCCTCCTCCTCCTCCTCCCCCTCCTCCTCCCCCTCCTCCCCCTCCTCCTCCTCCTCCTCCTTGCTTGCGCAGGCTGCCGGCGGTCTAGCCGCTGAAGCGTCAAAAAAACACCTCCTCCTCCTCCTCCTCCTCCTCCTCCTCCTCCTCCTCCTCCTCGATCTGCGCCCAGGCGTCTCTCCGTCCGTGCTCGCCCTGCCGTGGCCGGGCCTGCAGGGCTTCCGCACGTGCCCCCGGCGCGTGGCCTCCGGATGTCCCGCCCGTGCTTCCGGCCGTGCGTGCCTGCACCGGTCCCGTGCGCGGCTCCGCGCGGCGCGGCAGGAGCGAGGGGCCCGAGGGCCGAGCACCGGGGCCTCCGCACTCCTCCTCCTCCTCCTCCTCCTCCTCCTCCTCCTCTTCTGCCTGTGCCTCCAGGGGTTCTCTGGAGGCCCCGGCTGGACCTCTCCCTTGGGCCCCCCCCCGTCGCGGGCAGCCACCGCGCGCCAGCGGCGCTCTTCTGGCCCCCGCCGCGGCGCGCAGCCGAGGCGGGGCCGGCCCCGCCGAAAACGGCGTGACACAAACTTTCGACAGTCCGCGCGGATTCTCGACAGTTTCGGTTCCTTCGGGAAGGGGGGGGGAGAGGTTTGGGAGGCTCTTCGCTGCTGTCGGGCCATCCCCGGACCCCAGGGCGGCCGAGATAGCCGCTCGGGGTCAGAGACTGGTTCTGGGGAGCTCCCTG